GGGGGGAGAAGGAGAAGAATCCTGCATCATATAAGAGGAGAAGAATCACGTATATATCATAAACGAAGAGAAGAAGAAGCAAAGAGAATGGATGGGGGGGGGGGGGGAGGAGGATGGCATACTAATAATAATAACAAAAAAGAGATGGAAGAAACCTGAAGAAAGAAAGAAATGGCATGAGAAGATAGCCCTGACCGAAACCGTCCACCACCCCCTTTTTTTCACCTGCCCGTCCCGTGCTGCATTGCATCGTACATGCCCCGTTGCACTGTTGGCAGCCTACCCTTGCCCGTTACGGTTGTGCGGAGTGATGCTTGTATAGGACGATGACACACTCGAGCACAACACATGTAGGGATATCTGTCGATGCTTTGCTACGACTATCGTATCAGCGCGCGCACACACACACACACACACACACACACACGCACACACACATATATATATATATTATAGGACATGAGATATGAGTAGGGTAGACATTACCCTGAACCACCCAACGCTGCTGCCGCTGGCAGTATAATACCGTATATATATACTATGCATGATACATAGGACCTAGGATCCAGGTAGACCACCTAGCAACACCCGACACGCACACACACACACACACGCACACGCACACAGCCAACGCTAAGAAATGACGTGTGCATGACGTAATAGCACCAAAACACGGCACAAGCCGCCACTCGAAATATTTATAATAGAATGTCGACGCAAATCAGGATAAGATGCACTAAGCTACACCACGATTTTTTTTTTTAAAAAAAAACATATATATATATATAACGAGAAGCTGTGATGATCCCGACCAGTCAGCTGACAAGAGAAGGAATAGACAAGAAGGGGACGGAGAAGGAATCATGAGAGGAGAAGAGGGAGGAGAAAAGTATCCAAGAATGTCGACATGATTGAATAGGGAAATGTTATACCCGATACGCGAAGCGAATACTCATACTCTTGTTCTTGATTGAATAAAAAAAAAACAGGAAAAAAAAAACAAATCTGGTCTTCTTTAGAAACCCCGCCGGTAAGAAACCCTCCCCCCCTTTTATTTTGGGAAAAAAGCAACGAAAAAAAAAAAAAAGATGCCCTCCCGTCTAGTCCGAGGTTTATTACAAAGCCCGAGAGGTGAGGAGAACGGCCGAGATGTACGAACCCGAGAGATGCAGAAGAGAAGATGAGAGGGCTCGCAAGGGTGTAGATGTAGAACACAGTCCGTGTGCGGGTGTGGAGTTGAGCAGGTGGAGAAGGGGAAAGGAAAGGGGTTGGCGGTGATGGTGTGGTTCAGGTTGGAGTAAAAAAGAAGAAGGAAAGAGAATTACACTGAAACTGAACATGACATCAGCAAACCCCCCCCCCCCCCCCCCCCCC